AAAAAAAAAAAAAAAGTTGTTTGCAATGAATAAGTCTTACTTAGGTCTTGCAAAATTCTACCATGGGATCTCTAGCACAATTTCTGTTACCAAGGCCACATTTTCCAACTACTGATCTTTCCTCTTTGTTTCCAACTTTCGCATTCCAATTACCAATAATTATTAATGCATCTTGATTGCATGTTTGATCAATTTCAGTTGGAAGAAATTGGTAGAATTCTTCAATTTCGTCCTCACTTGCTTTGGTGGTTGGTGCTTAAATTTGAATAATAATGGTATTAACTGGTCTTCCTTGTATGTGTATGGGTATTATTCCATCACAGACAGCATTGTACTTCAAGATAAATCTTGAAATATTCTTTTTGACAATGAATGTGACACCATTCCTTTCCAATTTCACCTTCTTGGCATAGTAAATCATATGATTGTCAGATTCAGAATGGACATACCCGTCCATCTCCACTCACTAAACCTTATGATAGTGGTATTTATGTGTTCCATTACATTCTTTACAACATCCAATTTTCCTAGATTAATGCTTTGTACATTCCAAGTTCTGATTATTAATAGATATTTGCAGCTGCTTCTCCTCATTTTGAATTGTGCCCCATCAGCATATGAAAGTCCTGAAAACTTTACTCCATTTGTGTCATCACGGTCAACCCTTAACTTTGAGGAGGCAGCTCTTCCCTAGTTGTATTTTGAGTGCATTCTAACCTGAGGGACTCCTTTTTTGGCACTATATCTGACAATATTGTGGTGCTACTCATGTTTTCATTTTTTGACACTATAGCTGATAATGTTCCACTGCTATTCATAAAGTTTTCAGTGGCTAACTATTCAGAAGTACTCTGCTTCTCCTTCCTAGTCTTTTGTAGTCTGCAAACGCCACTGAAACCTATCCACCATGAGTCAACCTAGTGATATTTAAGATACTGGCTGGCATAGCTTCCAACATCACAGCAGCATATAAGCCACCATAGTATAACACACTGACAGACAAATGGTGTGTGTTGATTAGAGATACAAGTAAAATGACATCTTTGACAACTTCAATATTTTATCTTTATTAGTCTTTTTTTAAAATTATATAAATAATACTTGGTTATTCCAGAAACAGTAGAAAATGAATTTATCAACTAGAGTTGTTGATGTTGTTGTGAGGTGCTATTGAGTCGGTTCCAACCATAGTGACCCTGTATAGGGTTTTTGAGGAGCAGCTGGTGAGCTTGGACCACCAACCTTGAAGTTCAAATGGCTTTGCAGTCTGGTGCTTTAACCCACAGCGCCACACCAGGAGTCCATCAACTAGAGTAGTTACTGCTTTTGACATAATGATGTGTAGATTCTTCTAAACTGTTTTTCTATGATTTTTGCCCACATATATGCACACACATACATTTTTTGTTACTCACAAAAATGATTTATACTATTTTGTGATCTTTTTTTTTTTTTTTTTCTCATTTAATATTATATTAGGAACATTTTCCCATGTCAATAAACAGTTCTGTTTCATCATTTTATCATTCCTTTTTAAGGTTAGGACTATAACTAGATCTAGGCAAGGACTGGGGTTTTGTGTATTGTTAGGATTATGGTTATGACTAGGGCTAGTGTTAGGGCTAGGATAGGGCTTGGTATAGTTTTAGGGCTACAGTTAGGTTTATTTCATTTTTTTTTTGTTGAAATCTATTTTGCTCTCTTCTTTATCTGGAAGTTCTGTGACTACACACTATTTCTTCTTTCACTTTGTGATTTTGCTTTTTCTTTTGTTGTTGCAAACTGATAACTCTGGTTCCATGTTATCATTCTTAATAGCTACATTGATATTTAGTTGTGTAGCCAGTGATAAACATCTTCTTGTAGGATTTTAATTTTACATTTTTTTCTTATGAACTAGACTGAGATGTATATGAAAGGGAGCTTCCAAAAGTTTGTGCAAAATTACATTATTTTTTAATTCCATTTTTCTAAAAGTTTGTTGAATTCCCCCTTGTATTCATAGCTAGATCTTAAACTCTGTACACATCCCTAATTAGCTCCTTAGGATCAGTTCTCTGAAATGGAATCTCTACAATATGCACATTGTAGAGATCATTGATTTCTTTAAGGTCTCTGGGGTTTCAAAAGTCATTTGGAAAGGACAATATATGAGTCTTTAATCTCAAAGTTGGGTGTGGAAAACTTGCTATTATTTTAGTTCTTGGTATTTCTAGGTATGTGCACTGCCAACCGTGTCAGGGAAACACCAAGATCTGAAGTACATCAACCCAGAAACGGTAAGCAGATTTTTGGAGATGGTAACTGGTTACATAATCTACCATCTGGTCTGTTATGTCCCTGAAATACGTGATTCCATTTGTATTTCTTTCCCTGTGCTCATTCACAGTGTCAATTGTCAACCTAAACTGTTATCTAAAGGATTCTCTTATATCCATTGTTTTTTCTTCCTTTGTTTCTAATTAGACAAATGACAAATGGTTGTTGTAAAAGAAAGGAAGACAGAAGAGAAGATGAAAGGAAAGAAAATGTAAAAACACAAAAAGAATAAAACAAAAACCCCTGCAATTTAGGGTAGCCATATATTCTGGTTCGCATCTTACGATTAATTTATGTTTATTATTGTTGCTTGTAAGTACTGTGGAATTGATTCCAACTTATAGTGACCCTGTGTAGGGTTTCTGAGGAGCAGCTGTGGTTTAAACTGCCGACCTTGTGGTTAGCAGTTTAGTCCTTATCCTACAGCACTATAGCTCAGGGAATTTTTTAAATATTCACTCTCAAATGTGTCTTGATTTATACAATAATTTTATGGTCGCTCTACCCATAATCTTGTCACTAAAGATAACCAGTAGTAATATTTTCTCTATGGCCTTCTACATTTTATTCTATCAGATGTTTTATAAAAATGAAATCATATGAACATGTAATATTACAACCAGGTTAATGTAAGACACTGTAAAACTAGTTGCTATCAAATTGATTCTTATTCATGGTGACATCGTATATGTCACAGTGTCTTCATACCTGATTTTTTAGAAGTAGATCACCAGGCCTTTCTTTTGAGGCACTTCCAGATGCACTCTAAACACAAACCTTTCCTTAACAGTCAAACACTACCTGTTGTGTCTCACAGGAATATTAACACATTATAAATATCTTTATATAAAGGATCATTTTTAATGAGTACATAACATCCTATTTGTTGTTGTTGTTAAGTGCCATGGATTCGGTTCCGACTCATAGAGCCCCTATAAAAGGTTTCTGAGGAGCGGCCAGTGAGCTTAAGCCACCAACCTTGCAGTTCAAACCAACTTTGCAGTCTATTGCGTTAACCTGCAGTGCCATACCAGGACTCCTGTTATATGACATTATAATATATGTAATCAAATTCTATTATTGAATATTTAAATTATTTTTGATATTTTAATTACCTAAAAATTGCTGAGATGAATATCACTGTAACCATATCTTTGTGTAACATCTATTAAGATGTTGGAAAGAAACTGGAGTCAATGTGTAATTACTTTTACTTTTGTATGTATTTTTGTATGTGTTTCCAAAGTTCCCTCAGTCTTAATTATCTACAGCTGCTATAACAGTCATACCACAAGGGGATGGCAGTAGCAAATACATTTATTTTCTCACTGTTTGTTGTTGTTGTTATATGCCGTGGAGTCGGTTCCAACTCATAGCGACCCTGGACAGGGTTTCCGAGGCTGTTAGGAGACTAAAAAAGTCAGAATTCGGGACACTGGTTCTAGGGGCTTTCTCTTTGTTGGATTGTCTTTTCATCTTCTATTCTTTGACTCCCTGGTGATCTTCATTTGGTATGGCCTCTGTTTTCTCCTATCTCTGCTTCTTTTGCTTGCTTATTTAATCTCATTTATATCTCAAAAGATATTGATTTAAATCACACCCTACATTTATCCCATCTTATTAACATAACAAAGAAAACCCACTCCCAGATGGGATTATAATAACAGGCATAGAGGTTAGGATTCACAACACTTATTTTTCAGGGATGCTATTCAACTCATGGAATCCTGGAATGCAGGATAAGCACTGGACCACAAGGTCAGTTTGAATCCCAAGATCGGTGGTTCAAATCCACCAGCCATTCCTCAGAAACACTATACTGGGTCACTATGAGTCAAAATTGACTTGATGACACTTAACAACAAGGATTCATAGGGTCCTCATTTGGCGCTGTAGGATAAGCACTGAGCTGAACTGCTAATCTTAAGGCCAGTGGTTCAAACCCACCAGCCACTTCTCAGAAACGCTTTACAGGGTTGTTATCAGTTGGAGCCAACTCTACAAAGAAATTTAACAAAAACAAATTCAACCCATGGGAGCTCAGTGGCTCCATATGATAAGCACTGGACTGTGAACCACAAGGTCCATGGTTCGAGCCCACCAGCTGCTCCATGGGAGAAAGAGAGGCTTTCTGTTCCTGCAAAGGTTGATAGCCTCAGAAACCCTATTCAGTGTCGCTATGAGTTGGAACCAACTCAAAGACACGTAACAACAACAACATTCAACCCATGACATCATCCAAAAAAGTTAAACCAGTTTACAAGTAGCTTAAAGACTTGCTTTCCTACCATTTCCTACCATTTCTTGCAGAATTACAATCTTTAGCTACTACCTCTGCCACTGCCAAAGTCCTTGGATTTCCCCTGAGAGACTGATTCTAGCCATACCTACTTCCACATGGGTAGCCTAAATATGGTCTTCCTTGGTGTCTTGGTAATACCTGCTATTTTGGTTCTCTAGGAAAGGTCACTTGCCTTTCATTCTCTTATGTGGGATAGAGCTGGATTTTATTTTAAGTATAGGGTGTCTTTGCAGGTTGGATAGACAGTGGAATCTTGGGTGACTAAAGGAACTGTGTGAATAGAGTGACAAGGAGCAGATATTCAATCACAGTTTCTGTGCAGGTGGCTGCCTTACTTTTGGGGAAGTACCAGGGCCTGATTGAGAAGTTTTATATCATTGATTGCCGCTATCCATATGAGTACCTGGGAGGACACATCCAGGTGAGTTTACATAGTGGTCTTTAGCAGGGGAGGGACTGGAGAATGGGTCTGGACAAAGGATCCTGTAAAATCTAGAACTGATGGTGGTTATGTGCCGTAGAATAGAGATTATACATTTGGGGTACATCAGAGCTGTCAATCCACATCCCAGTTTTAAGTGTGTATACCTTGAGCAGCTTATTTTCCCTTTTCTTCCTAGACCCATCGCCTTTCTTCCTACAGAAGTGGTACCAAGGGCTCTGACTTAGGAAAAAAAACATGTTGATCCAAGGACTGAGGAGCACTTTATAAACAGTGACTCTCTGTGGGCATTTTTCACAGTGATTCTTTCAGTCAGTTCAGTTCTCTGAATATTTATTGAGTACCTAAGTTCTGGTAGCACAGTGGTTACTTACGAATTGGGCTGCGAACTGCAAGGTCAGCAGTTCCAAACTACCAGCTGTTACGCAGGAGGAAGATGAGGTTTTCTGCTCCTATAAAGGTTTACAGCCTCAGAAACCCTGTACAGGGTCATTATGAGTCAGAACCGACTCCATGGCACATAACCACCACCACCACTTGCCAAAAAGGAGCTCTGGTAGCAGCGTAGTGGTTTACAAGTCAGGCTGCTAACCTCAAGGTCAGCAGTTCGAAACTACCAGCTGTTACATTAGAGAAACAAGACTCTCTGCTCCTGTAAAGATTTACAGCCTCAGAAATCCTATAAAGGGTCATTGAGTTGGAACCGACTCCACAGCACATAACCACTACCACTACTTGCCAAGCTCTATACAAGACCCTGGGGGTAGATGCAAAAATAAAATTAGGTCCCTGCCTTGAAAACACTTATAGTCTAGCTTCCCTGGCCCAAATATTCCAGGAAGGTAACCCAGTCATTACTAACTATTGGCAATGTCCACACGCCCTTAAGGAATTACTTATTAAAATTCTCCTTCTACAGGGAGCCTTAAACTTATATAGTCAAGAAGAACTATATAACTTCTTTCTAAAGAAGCCCATTGTCCCTCTGGACACCCAGAAGAGAATAATCATCGTGTTCCACTGTGAATTCTCCTCAGAGAGGGGTCCCCGAATGTAAGTTATCTACACAGCATAGGCTGAGTGATATAAATGGATCTTGAGTTGGTGCTTACCACCAGGTAATCTCAGATCATTTCAGACAAAGACTGACTTAATGAGAGAGGTCATACTCTCTACTGCAGTCTGAGAAATGTTGGGAGGTGGAGGGAAGGGGTTTGTATAGTTCAAAAGTTTAGAACAGTAAAGGAAAATGAATTGGGAATGAGATTCAAATGGAGGAAGAAAGGAAAAGCGATGCTACCTGGACCTTGTTTGCAAAAATAATGATATCTGGAGGTCCTTTTTGGGTTAGCAATAGTTTATTCTTCCTCCCCTTCTCCAGTGAGTAGCCCAGGGAACTCTGACCTTGATTCTATCCAGTCCACCCATCTCCAGGTTTTCTTTAAAGGTACCGCTCTCTGAGAGGAAAGGACAGGACTTTGAACCAATATCCTGCCTTGCACTACCCAGAGCTGTACATTCTCAAAGGGGGCTACAGAGACTTCTTTCCAGACTATATGGTAAAGTATAGGGCATGTGGGGCAAGGAGGGAGCCCAAAGTTGGTGGGGAAGAACCAATTTTAACTTACAGTTCCCAGGGCCTGCCAAGTCTTCTGAGAAGAGACTGCTACTCCTTCTTGGCCATCTCCTCTGGAGTCCTTATTGTATTTAGAAGGCAGAGTGCAGGAGTCTGGAGAATCTCTTACTCTGTCCCTTACCTTTCAGGAACTATGTGAACCACAGAGCTACTGCCCTATGCATCACCAAGACCACAAGGCTGAACTGCTGAGGTGTCGAAACCAAAGCAAAGCATGGGAAGGGGAGCGACAGCTGCAGGAGCAGATTGCCCTCCTGATGAAGGGCATGAAGTGAACCTGTGATAAGAGGTCAGCCACTGGCTGCTGAGGTCTCACCAAAAGATACTATAGATATCTTGAGCAGAAGAAGTCATCTTCTCTGTGGGTAGACCCAGGATTATTAAAAGATTCTGCAAACCAACAGACTGCCAAGATGATGAAATATTCCAGACCTGGGGATTAGTTGCATTTCAGTAGAGCTCCTGGCTGGTGGTGGATGAGTCCTGGAACTGGCTCTAAGAGGCTATAATCTTGAGTTGCATAGAGATTTATATTTCTTCTGGGAGCTCTTGCATTCTTCTTACCAACTGAACTCCCATCTCCTTTAAGCTACCCTGCCCTTTCTCTCACTGAGATTCTGGCTGTATAAGAGAGTTGCCCATCTTCTCTTGTGTATTTTCTGTTTTTGTTTCTCTCTCTTTTCCCTTTTCTTAAATAGGAGAATAAACATATCAGAATGAAAGATGTTGTGATCCTGAGTCTGCTCTTAGAAGATCTGTACAATGAACCAGATTGGACTCTTTCAAACATAGTTGTGACCATCTTTATTTATTCATAGTTGAAGCCAATGTGCTTATCTCTAGACCTTGTTTTTCAAAGTGTGGATCCTGGACTATCAGCATCATCAAAACTATGTGAAATGTACATTCTCAGTCCCCACTCCAGACTTTTTAAATCAGACACTCTGAGGTTTGGACCCAGAAACTTGAATTTATCAAACAAACCAAAAAACCCCTCCCTTTTTTTTAGATTTCTGCAAGACAAATGATTTGTTTATTTCAAATACCTTCTTTATTTATTTATTTATTTATTAAATGTTTTTATTTTGGATTGAGTGAAAGTTTACAGGGCACATCATCAGCTTCACATTCAACCATTTATATAGCTTGTTTCATTACATTGATTATTATCCCCTCCATATATCATCAGTTAACAGTGTTTCTCTCTATCCTCTTTAGCTTTGTTTTTTTTGGGGGGGGGAAAAACTTGCCTTTTTGGAATTTACAGTCTCGGCTTTTAGGGAAGGTTTTTACATTTCTCTGTGGCTGTCCAGGGCTCATGTATGAGATTACTAACAAGCATTACTGAATAATCAGATGAGGGACAGTTTGCTATGTCTACTAGGTGGCTAAAGTCTGATCCTCAGAGCCTATGGTTTGGACGGTCAACAACGCTTGGGCCCACAGGGTCTTGACCTCCTGACCGGGTCTGCACGGTCTGCATCAGATTCCCCCTTATTTATTGTTTGTTTAAGGGACGCTGCCTGTCTTAGGCGGTCAGTGCGAATTCCTCTGTCTTACCCGTCATCGAAACTCATTGCAGCATGGCAATGGCTCTGTCTTAGGTTGCCGAGGTTCCACGTGATCCTTACCCGTCTCTGGCCACACGTCCAGCTTAAACAGCCACCATCCGAGGAAGGCAGGGAGGGAGGAGACCGGCTGGGGACCCCATACGCAAGACGTTGCCAGACCACTACCTGCTCTAAGGTGACCAAGCAGGATCACTATGCTGAGGTTCAATCAAGTTCTTAGGGGATCTTAATCTCTAGCAGGGGTAGCAAATTAGTAGCCACTCAGTGCTCACTTTGAGAATTACTTATATCAGAAATTTGAGCATGTAGCTGATGAATATCCATAGACAAGTGGATATTATTCCACAACCTCCTAAAATGCTGTTGGATTAAGTTCCAATCAAGTTCTGGATTACTGAAAGATAACACAAATCTATTTATACCATGAATAACCTTGGCTGGGAGTGTAATCTGGATATATTGGGTGAAAACTTTAACAGGCAATGAAACCTACGATGGTTGATGGATGATTGCAAAATCAGTAACATCTATTCATTTCCCATTCCCCACGCCCGACAAGCAAAGAAAACCCCTCCCTTTTAAGGATATCCTAATGTGTGTAAAAATTTTAGAACTGCTGTCCTGGAATTTATAACTCTAAACTGCATTCATCAGCAGTCTATTAAGCTTTCCTTTTATAGACATTCTATAACATAAGTTACCTACAGGTATACCCTAGACCCAGAAAACTAAGATGATTAGCATTCTCTAAGGGAGATGATAAGGAGCTCTGGTAATGTAGTTGGGCTGCTAATCTCAAAGTCAGCAGTTCGAAACTACTAGTCATTCCATGGGAGAAAGATGAGGCTTTCTGCTCCCGTAAAGATTTACAACCTCAGAAACTATACAGGGTTGCTATGCGTCGGAACCGACTCTATGGCACACCACCACCACCACCACCACCAAGGCAGATGGAGTCCTGGTGTGGCATTGTAGGATAAGCACTGGGCCACTAATTGCAAGATGGATGATTCAAACCCACTAGCTGCTCTTTGGGTCACTATGAGTTGGAACCAACTCAACGGCACTTAACAACAAGGCAAGATGATGAAGTCCCTGAGTGTGGTGTAAATGATTAATGCAACTGGCTACTAACTGATAGGTTAGCAGTTGAGTCCCAGTGTCCACCCACAGGTACCTCAGAAGAAAGACCTGGTGATCTATTTTTGACAAAAATCAGTAATTCCCTATGGAGCACAGTTGTATTCTGATACTTATGGTGTCTGTATGTTGTTGTTAACTGCCATTGAGTTGGTGCCAACTCATAGTTGTAGGACTTCATGGAGTCAGAATCAATTTGAAAGCAACTTGTCTACTGATAGTCTAGGGCTAGAAAAAGGTGTTCTGGTAGTATAGCGGTTACAAGTAGGGCTGCTAATCTCAAGATAAGCAGTTCGAAACTACCAGCTAGCTGTTCCGCAGGAGAAAGATGAGGCTTTCTGTTCCCATAAAGATTTACAGGGTTGCTATAAGTCAGAACTGACTACACAGCAAACAATCACCACCATCACCAGGGCTAGAAAAGGACCAAGTACTCAGAAGCTAAGGTGGAGATGGAGACAAAAATGACATCTTCCCCAGGTTTTGGAATAGCAAAAAAAATTTTTTTTTTTTGTAAGAGAATGGAAGGGAAGACGGACTGTAACCACAGGGCAGCCTATAAGTGTGACTGGAATACTGACTTTTGCAAGGTTCACATATGTTTACTAATTTGAAGTGCTGTGTGCATGCCTCACAGCAGAGGGCACTGCTGTATTCGCTAAACCAGTTGACTGGAATTTACAGTCTCCATTCTCAGCCTGTTTATCCAGAGGAAAGTTACTATTCTGCCTTGTGCTCAGAAGGATTAGGGAAGAAAGAGGGAAAAACTGCTACTACATTAAGCAGAAATGGCTGCGGGAAAGTTGCTGGCCTTCCTGTTGCTCCATTCTACCCTCTCCCCAGCACACACTCATCCTCAGTAAGCAGAAACTCTTGGTGGTCTAAAGAAGTTAGAAACTGCTAAAAGCACCACTTCCAAGTATGAGGGGTCCCCAACTCTACCTACTTTGTGGGCTATTTCCTGATAATTCTCTCCAGAAAGGTTGTTGTTAAGTTCCTTCGAGTCAGTTTGGACCCATAACGACCCTGTGTACAGTTTCCAAGGAGCAGCTAGTGAATTTGAACCACGGACCTTGCAGTTCAGACTGACCCTGCGGTCCAGTGCGTTATTCTATAGCACTACACCAGAAAGGCAGAATGAAGCTCATGGGTAGTGGATGCACAATAAACTAAACTTCAGAACAACCCTTAAGTAGGTACTAAGTATTATGCAGATGAAATTGAGTAAAAGTGGGATTAAGTTAACTTGTTTAAGGTTACTTAATGGAGTTGGGGTTTGAGCCTAGGCTCTTGTGTATTCTTTATAGAGTTGTCAGTGTACTCAAATGAAGTCCCACTGCCATCAAGTCATTTCTGACTCAGCAACCTTTAGAACAGAGTAGAAGTACTCTGTAGGGTTTCCTAGTAGTTACCCTACTCTTTGGGCAAGCAGATTGCCTCATCTTTCTCCCACAGAAAGACTAGCTGGTTGGAACTATCAACCTTTCGGTTAGTGGGCCAATGCTTAATCTTTTATGTCACTAGGGCTACAAAAGTTGTCAGTATGTTGTTAAGTGCTGTCACATCAGTTCCCACTCAGTGACTCTGTATAGGGTTTTCAAGGAACAACTGGTGAGTTTGATCAGCCAGGCTTGTAGTTAGCAGTCCATTGCTTATCCTACAGAACCATACCAGGACTCTTAAGTTGCCAGTGTTGTTGTTAAATGCTGTCGAGTCTGTTCCGACCCATAGCGACCCTGTATAGGGTTTACAAGAAGCCGCTGGTGAGCTTGAACCGCCGACCTTGCAGTTCAAACGGCTTTGCAGTCTGGCACATTAACCCACAGCGCCACACCAGGACTTCTAAGTTGTCAGTGTTGTTGTTGTTGTTAAGTACCGTGGAGTCGGTTCAGACTCATAGTGACCCTGCACAGGGTTTCTGAGGCTTAAAATCTTTACAGGAGCAGAAAGCGTCTTCTTTCTTCCACGGAATAGCTGGTAGTTTCGAACTGCTGAACTTGAGCTTAGCAGCCTGATTCATAACCACTATGTCACCAGAGCACCTTGTTGTCAGTGTACTGGGTGTTAAATATGTAAACACCTCAACTATAGGTTCTTGACAAATCAGAGCCATAGGGCTTGGTTTGAGATGTGATTCTAAGGATATCCTAAGACCCCAGTCCAAAGACCCCAACATAAGGTTATATAATGGTTAAAATTTGCACTTGGCCCTTTGCACTGACTGATATTAGTTCATGAAGTCAGGTAGCAAAGATTGGAAATCTTTGGATCAAAAAACTGCTTCTGGTTATCAATCTTAGACCAGAACCTGACTGATCTTTACCATAGAGATTGGGAAGTGGAAGACTCTCTTTCCCCATTTGATTCAAACATTAAGGAAATGCCAATTCATTTAAACATCAAAGGTATCAGTTCTAAGTACTGCAGGATTCATATGTGAGTCCTCAAGATACTGATAAGGTAGAAAATGGTTCTCGTTCCTATCTTGGTAAGCTCTCTGGTCTATAGTGTGTTCAGCAAAAGTAAAATACAGGTCACTTTAAAGCAACAAGCCAGTGATGATGGCTGATCAAGTTCACAGAATAAGTAATGGCAGCATGCCACTGGGGTACTAATATTTATTCAGTTCTTGCTGTGTGCCAGGTACAATGCTAAACCTTTCACCTAGTATATGCTTGTTTAGCCCTCACAACTGTTTCATGAAGTAGATGTTATTACCCATAATTTGACAGATGAAGAAACGGGAACAATCAGTGCCTTCCTTGCCCAAGGTCATGAAGCAAGTGTTGGAAAATGGCATTTGATCCTATGCTCCTAATTATTTACTATGTTGCTAGTCTCCTAGGCTAAGACAGCAACAGGAAGTAAAGCTCAATAGTGGAATGGGAAAGGGCTTGACAGAAGGTAGAATCCATATAGTCTGACTATATAAGAGGCGAAAACCAAAACTGTAAATGAAAGTACAGCATTTTTAGATCTTTGAACCCCAGTTAGTAGATTGCAGGTGGCTCTGTAGAATAAGACTAGACTGGGAATTGCAAGGTTGGTGGTTCAAGCCCACCAGCCACACTGGGAGAAAGATGAGGCTTTCTGCTCTGGCAAAGACTTACAGCCTTAGAAACCCTAGATTGGGTCCCTATGAGTTGGAACCAACTCCACGGCACTTAACAACAACCACGACAGGGTTTGTGTCTCAATCATTTTTGCACCTGGCACAAAACTGAATCCACATCAGTCTCAAAAGACATTGAATTAAAGGCACAAAGTGACTGGCTTATGAGTTTTCAAGAGAGAGTTTCAGAGTGTGTGGGAGAAGGTAGAATCCCCACTGAATCGTTTTCATCTTGTCTAGACAGGTCTGGTGAAAAGAGAAGGGGATAAGATTCTTATGATTCAATAGTGAGTAATTGTTATTATGACTAATTGTGACTGTCACAACTGTAACATAAAGGGGAGAATAGTTAATCTTACATTCCAGAAGCAGAGCACCATAGGAAAGGGAGAAAAGCATGAGCAGAATGTGGGAGCATATCCAGAAAAGCAGCAACACAAGAGATGGAAGCAGAGATGGAGAGAGAAAGCAGCTGAGAACTCTAGACTCATGGAAAGAGAAAGGTTGTGTGCTGGCGGCCAGGAGGGAGGCTTGCACAATGTGCCCTTTGGTTGCTTAAATGAGTATATATTCCTGAGTGTTTTTGTGTACATCGCCCCCTACACACACACACACACACACAAAACAACAACCCCTGAGGGAATAGAAGTAAATACTGTTGAATGAGGAGATTGTAATCATTGCAATGAAACGATGAGTGTAAAACAAATGTTCTCTCATGTAAACTATCACTCAATTCACAATAAAAACCTAAAAAAAAAAAAAAAAAGACATTGAATTGATAGGAGGGATTGAGTAATTTGTCATTATCTACAAGTTTCCCAATGGCAGTGGCTGCTTACCGAGCATTTGTTGGCAGTTACGGAAAGAAATAGTTGGTGGAGAGATGGTGTGTTGGAGAGGCTGTCAATATTAGTCTTGGAGTCATATTTATTTGCAGAGGTTTTCTGTCCCTTCCCCTTAACTTTGGTTACCAATCATTAAAGGCCCAGTGAAATAGTTCTGCTTTAGCCTATAGGATTGCAATGATTCAGAATCAACTTGTAAGGCAGTGAGTATTTTTTATTTTGTTTTTGAGCAAATGCCTTTTCTCACCCCACCTTCCAAACTTGAATTGGCTTGGTTTCTGGCAGCCAGTGAGGGCAGAGATGACAGATCCTTGACCAGCCCACATCTTAGTTGGCTCATGGGTCTCAGCTCTTTCATAGAATCCCAATTGACTGAAATTGTTATTTTTACTTTGTAAATTCCTTCTTGAAATTATTTCCAGAATGGAGTGGAAGTGGGCACTGTCAGCTACCCAGCTACAAGCTCTCTCACCTTCCTGGAGAAAGGACTTAGGAAAGGTACATTGAGGTAGAGTGGAGCTGGGGGACACAGGTCCTGCACAAAGGCTGAGTAGCCAGATGTTCACTTTCACAGTTCTCCTGAAAAGCTAGCAGGAGAGATACAGATTAAAAAGAAGCACAAACTCCATTTAAAGTGCATTACAGCTCAAGAACTAGCTCCCCCTGGGCACGAGAAGGGAGGGAAGGGCACATCAGTCTCCTTCCTTATCTGGGGCCACATGTCTCTCTCCTAGCTTTGTGAAAGGTGATTTACACCCCCAGCTGGAATGACTCTCTTTCTGGGCTGATTACATCGGCAAATGCCCCCCAGAGGCCACAGCAGGATGGTCATATTCAGAAACAGCAGTCAATAAATCTCAGAGGTTTATATTGTACTTCTCAATATCCTCTCCTGGCCCTCCCTCCTGGCCCTGTGCCAGGCCTGCTGTGGAAGTAAGGAGGGAGCAGGAGTAAGACGGTTATAGGATGAAACTCTCACTTCCTTTCACCACCTCTTTTCTTTGGCACTGCTTCTTTCTCATCCTTTCAAGTCATTCCTCCTCCACCTTTTTCTTATGAGCCAGTAAGACTCTGCCCCAGGCCTAATAAATGCCTCTTTCGTTTAAGAGTAGAAATCCTGGATTCTAGGCACAATTGTGGTTCTAACTCCAAAATTAGAGTATCCTGCTCTTGTGAAACTCAGCATCTGCGATGATGGATCTCCTAAATTGTCTCAGTATTCACTTCCCTCCATGACCTTATATTTTCATCTCTGCCATTTAGTCTGATGTTAAGTACCAGCGAGTCCGTTCAGACTCATAGTGACCTTTTATAGGGTTTCCGAGGCTTTAAATCTTCGTGGGAGCAGAAAACCTCATCTTTCTCCCATTGAGCCAGTGGCGGGCTCAAAAGTCGGACCTTGTGGTTCCCAGTCCAGTGCTTATCATATGGATCCACCATTTAATCCTTCCATCCCCTCTCATGACACCAAGGGAGCTGAATTTTGAAGCTGAGTCTGGTAAATCTCTTGGGACCTGGTCCTAGGTTTGCTCCCAGTCAAGTTCTTTCACCTATCTGAAATCCATCTTTGCAGAACCTTGGGTTAATGACAAGCAAATTTTGCTTACTCTTGATTCTTATGAAGGGGAAATAAGAATTTAGATGTTTGCAGAACTTTGGGTTAATGACAAACAAATTTTGCTTACTCTTGATTCTTATGAAGGGGAAATAAGAACTTAGATGTGCAAATTTTAATAGAAAAAATTACTGCAAATGCCCTTGTGCTGATTTTTTCAAATTTTGTTATAAGATTTCATTTGTGGTGGGTGCTGTTGTGCTTTTGGATGGGGGTGGGGGTATGTCCCAAAAGAACGAAAGTGCTTTCTTTTGAGAAATATTTGAACTCCAGAAGCAGCCTCCACATTGTCTTGAGCAGAATTTTCCCTCTCAGCAAAGTTCTCAGCAGACTTGGGTGGAGCACCCTCTTCCTCACCCCATTCGGGTCGCCCCCCAGACAGGCCCTCATCCCCACCCCTGCCAGCTTTCTCCATCCAGTAAAAGAGAGGCGCGGTGCGTCGGTCCGCTTCCGAGTTGGAGGGCGGCGCCCAGGACCCCAGTGGGAGAGAGTCGTCGACGCCGCACGAGGAGGGGCGCGAGGCAGTGGTGGGAGGTGCGGGCTGAGGAAATCCCACTTAAACAGAGCTGCAGCCAGAGGAGCGCAGCGCTGGACCCAGGCAGAGTGTTCCACGAGGGTGCACCCCGGCGCCCACACTCTGGCCATGGCACGCCCCCCGAGCCCTGGGCCGGTACCACCCGTGGTGGTCCTGTTCCTACTACTGCCGGCGCTGCTGCTGCGAGTCGGTGAGTGTAGTCTGTGGGTTCGCGGAGCCCGCCCGGGCCAGAGCTGTAGCGGGAGGTGGAGGTGAGCATGTAGGTGGGGCTGCCCAGAGAGGGCTCAGCCGCTGGAGCAACCACCACCTGGTCCTGTGAATCTGTCCACCTAAGCCGAGGTAACTGAAGGAGGAAGCTTGGGTGCCATAAAGGGTCTGGGTTCCATGCCTATACAGAGACTGAACTGTTGTGAATTAGGTGCTAACAATGGCTTGGACACCCGAGCTTTTCCTCACTCCTGGATTCCCTTCTTCTGTCTTTTAAGGCTTGACTCCACAGTCACAGAACCCACAGGTCACTACTAAAACGACTGCAGCAGGAGGGCACAGAATCTGATCAGAAGTAGGACTGCTGATTTACTCCACAGGGGGTTCAACTCTTCCATCATCTTTAAAAACTGGGGAAGGGGAATCTAGGACCAGATGAAGAAAAGAGGTTTATGTTAGAACTGACTTGTCACAAATTAGTCTTGTAAACTGCTGCCCTAGACTTATTAACATCGTTATTTTACTTGCATTGTTGACACTGTTGTTTACCAGCAGCCTACACTCTCAGTTGATGTTTAAAATTGGAGTGGAAAACTGGTTATTGAATGAATAAGTTAGCCTTTCCTCTGCAAATTGCCCAGCACCCGCTATTTCCTATAATCCACAATAAGTGTTTTGTGGAATATATAGTTCAAGGTGTAGGATCAGAACCGTATCATTCCCCTAAGGAAAGTCAACCTTACTGGCATCTATGATCCCAGGGAACTTGCCCCATGGCCTTTGGAATGGGATGGATGGCTTTCTGGAATTTAATTGTAGGGCTTCTGTCTAGATCCAGAGGGGAGGAAATCCTGAGGCAGAGATCTCACATGTTTATTTGGAGGTCTTGGTCCACAAGATGGTACTGCAGAGATGCAAGATACTCTGGGAGAAGTGAGGGAAAGGACTGGGTCTGTACAGATTAAATGGGTCTGTCAGTGAATCACTGCAATAAGACATCACCCACCTGACTCCACTGACTGCCTAGAAAATAGGTCAGTACTGCCCTTTTTGTCTTGAATGGTTGGTGTGCATACCTCACTACTGTTGTTGGCCCCTTATTCACCTATATCTTGTTGGCCAAAACTTGAACCTCAGCGATGAGTTCAGTTCCAGACTTGAAAGGTGAACAAGGACCTTAGTCTTGAGGTTCCATCAGTTTCTATTTGACTAGTAATCCTAGTCTTCCTATGATTTTGAGTTTTGTTCCACATTTTCTTCCATTCTTCCATGATAATTCTTGATTGATACTGGCTTTTGGTTATGTGGCTTCACTGAAAATCCCCTAAAACAATCATCTAGAATCTGAGGTGTGGAGTCAATTACTTTCCAAGAGCACAAACCAACAGGATGTCAGCAATTAAGTAGAAAAGCATTCTGCTCAGAACCCACTAAAACTAGCATTAAAAAGGAAACAACCTAAAAAACAACAAAACGTTGCCATCTAATTGATTCTGACTCATGGAGACCTATGTGTTTCAGAGTAGAACTGTGCTGCGTAGGGTTTTCAGTGACTGACTCTTACAGAAGTAGATTGGTGGGCCTTTCTTCCACAGTGCTGCTAGGTGGGTTTGAACCACCAACCTTTCAGTTAGTAGTTGAGATGGGGAACTGTGCTATCCAGGGACCTTAAAACAGATGAAGATAAAGAAGTTTAATACAGGAAGCAAGCATAAATTGTTACAACTTGATGAACTGGACCTTTGCTTATGGATGAAGCTGCCCCAAATTCCAAAGGTTTCTCCATATAAAGGATCAAACTTGCCTCCTCAGGGTATTGATAGGGATGGGCAACTTAAACTTTGGCTATCAAAATTGGGGGCTACAAGGGCTTTCATGAGGGTGTTTAGTGTCAGAATGAGGGAGTAAGACAGAAATCCTAGTGAATAGTTTTCCTCTTGTTCAGATGGGTCTGGTGACTAGGGGAATAGAATTTTATGATTCAATTGAGAGTATTTGTTTTCATGTCCAATGGTGATTGTCATAACTGTAAATGTAGAAGAGGTGCAACTAAAAGGGGGTAGAAGTTAATCTGCCATTTCAGGAACAGAGGACCCTGTGACCATCAAGAGGGAAGAGCATGAAAGGAGTAAGGGATCTAACCAGAAATGTAGCCACAACAGAGATGGTGGCAGAGGTGATGGCATAGAGAGATAGAGTATAAAACAAAACAATGGAAAACCAAAAGGCCACTGCCATTGAGTAGATTACGACTCATAGTGACCCTATATAAAGTTTCTGAGACTGTAAATCTTTACAAGAACAGATGGCCTCATCTTTCTACTGCAGTGCACCTGGTAGGTTTGAACCACTGACCTTGTAGTTAGCAGCCCAATGTTTAAACCACAATGCCACCAGGCTTCCTTAGTGCCACACATAAAGGAGGCCTCTAATTCGCTGGGATGTGGCCTCATGTATTGAAAGCCGTTCTAGACAGGAAGTGGGAGTCCTGGGTTCTACCTTTTTTTTAGTCATGACTTGCTACATCTTGTGCATGTCATTTTTCTTTGTTCATCATCTATAAAATTGGTGCCTATCCTATGGGCCTCATTGGGAGGAACAAATGAGAGTTTTGTGCCTTCAAGTGTAGCTTGGATTCTACCCTGTTGTTTATCCAGCTATCAAATGGGTGCCAATGCTATGGGTCTCATCAGGGAGAAACAAATGAGCGTTTTGTGCTTTGAAGCATAGCTTGAATTCTGCCTTATTTGCAGCTACTCATTCTCTGATGAACCAAGAAGCGGAAAACCAACTCATGAAGCCAGACTTCTAACTTTTTATGTTTGTTAAGTATCGTTGAGTCGGTTCAGACTCATAGCAACTCTGTATAGTGTTTCCGAGGAGTGGCTGGTGGGTTTGAATCACTGACCTTACAATTCAAACTGACCCTGCTTGTCCTACATCACCACACCAGGACTTCTGACTAATCAGTATTAAATAAAGACATGGCAGTGACAGTGTCAATGAAGAGGTGGATCAGGAGAGTGGTGGGGACTGACAAACCAGAAAACACTTGTCAAGAAGGCAATTCAACTAAGTATTCAACTCTAGCTGTTGCATTGTGGGGATAAGGGTCCAGTTTTGCAATTTTAAAAATTTTTAAAAAGTTTTTATTGTGGATTATGAGATAGTTTTCACAGGAGAGCATTAGCTTTACATTCATCCTATCGTATATCGTTTTATTGCCATGATTACAGTCTCCTCCATGCATCATCAGCCAACCAAAGGGTATACCCTGCAAGCCTGTCCCTCTCTCTCTTTAGGTCTAAAGTCCCCAGATGCTCCATCTCTGGCATCACTGCTTCTTTGGGTAGTGTCCCGCACTCCACTCCTCTCCTTTGAAGGTCCCAGGGACCTCTGCTCTTGGACTGCAAAGTCAATCACTCCCCTCCTTTTGCTACAAAACGTCTACCTTTACATTTCCAACCCTCACAGTCAGTCCTGATAGCAATTATTTACTATTGTACCACAAGAGTCTTATTCCCATATTCCTTTCTATTTCGTTTAAATGTCTGTATTATAATAGTAGTCAGGGGAAACCAATATCCACAAACCAGTCAAGCACCTTAACATTATTTCCCCTCCTTTACCCATTCAGACTAGGAGTCCTGGTGTGGTGCTGTGGGTTAATGCATCAGATTTCAAAGTTGTTTGAACTGCAAGGTTGGCAGTTCAAGAACACCAGCTGCTCCTCAGAAACCCTATACAGGGTCGTTATGGGTCGAAACCGACTCGACTTCATAACATAACAACAACATTCCATTTTGAATCTAATATGCCAGGAATGACGAATTGAAGAGAGATAGTGTCCCATTCATTGCCAAGAAGAACATTGCAAGATCTGTTCTGAAATACAATGATTTCAGTGATGGGATAACATCCATATACCTAAAAGGAAGACCAGTTAATATGAGTATTATTCAAATTTGCATACTAACCACTAATACCACAGATGAAGAAACTGAACATTATTACCAACTTTTGCAGTCTGAAATGGATCAAACATATAATCAAGATGTATTAAAAATTACTGATGATTAGAATTTGAGATTTGGAAACAAAGAAGGATCAATAGCTGGGAAATATGGCTTTGGTGATAGAAATTACACTAGAGATCCCATGATAGAACTCAGCAAGACCAACAAACTATTCATTGTAAATACCTTTTTTTTCAACAACATAAACAGTGCCTATATACGAGAACCTAAAATAATGGAATACATAGGAACCAAATATGCTACATCTGTGGAAATACTGCAAGAATGGTGTGGAGGTGATAGCTTATGTACTCTGACATCACAAGAGGGAACAAGGAGAGTCACCAGTCCAAGGTTGATTCCCTATGAGGTGTAGCTCAGACATGCTTACACCCTCCAACCTTCCTTACCAATTCTGACAACCATCCCTCCCATGGTACTCTCTATTTCTCTGCTGGGCTTGATAACCCATTACAATGGTCATACAGAACTCACAGACAATACTCACAATTGTAAGGTTTGTTAAGGAAGTTATTAGTGTGATGGTGTGCCGTGGAGTCAGTTCTGACTCATGGTGACCCTGTGTAAGGTTTCAGAGGCTGTAAACGTACATTTAAAAAAATCTTTACTGGAGCAGAAAGCCTCATTCTCCCATGGAATGGCTGGTAGTTTCAAACTGCTGACCTTGAGGTTACCAGCCCAATTCATAACTAGGATACTACCAGAGAAATCCTGGTGTGGTGCTGTGGGTTAACGCACCAGACTGCAAAGCCATTTGAACTGCAAAGTCAGCAGTTCAAGCTCACCAGCTGCTCCTCGGAAACCCTAAACAGGGTTTCTATGGGTCAGAACCAACTCGATGGCACTTAACAACAACATTGCTACCAGAGCTCCTTGTTAGGAAAGTTAACGGTACAATTCAGGATCAGAATACAGTCCTTTGAGTCACGAGCGCCTTTTCTCAGCT